CGACATACCAATTCCCTCACAACAATTATTAAACTCAATCATACCCTAAATATCCACACTATTCCCATCTATCTTCTTATCCATATTCAATATAATGTTAAGATCACCACCCATAAGCCACGAATCCCGAGAGTTTGATGCCAACTCGTCCAATTCAATCCATAAATCATGCCTCTCCCTCCTATTGTAGCTAGCATATACTATTGAAACACGCAAACTACCCTCATAGTAACTCGACATATTAACGATGAATCGCTTGTTTATGAAACACCTAACAAGTCACCAAAATATTCTCATCCCAAAACAATCATATATGTGTATTTTTTAGGTTAAAATGCTTGAAACATTTGTATTTAATAAACTTGGCTATATTAAATATTCTATTCCTTTATCTTAGGATCGATAATAGTAAAAAATTTTGACCTATACTTGTTTCTTCAAAATTTTAACTTAATTAATTGAATCTATGTTTCCAATACCTCTAACACTATAGAAGATACCGACATGGTTAAATTGATGTAGAGGTAGTAACTAGTTCTTTAAAAGCTAATCTTATCTTTCTAAAACGAGTCTAGCAATTGGGGTTTCTTGATTCGGCTAATTTCTTAAACTTCTTAAAATTTTTCCTTACTTTTTTTAGTTCAGCCCCTTGAACATCTAGACTTCTTAAAGATAATCGACAAAAGTTATATTTCTCTCTTTCAAACTTCGTATTTGAAGTGATCCTTTCCACCTTACTTCTTTATTGCCCACTAAACCTTACTTGGTAACCTCTTCCACCTTTACATATTACAACCCATAAACATTATTAACATTTGATCCACTAGACTACCCTAGCTTTGCAATATTACCCATTGCTTGAGAGTCCACGACTTGATATTTCTAGCCTTCCATGAGCAGTTCCCACTACCCATAAGGGTTGAAACCCATCGAACCAATATTTGATCCTTCATTCACTCTTTTTTCCTTACTCATCTCTTACTCACTATCCATGATATTGAAACTTTCGAAGCCATAGTCATAAACTCGAAGCTGTCTACTTGCTATAGATACATTTGCCGATGCTACTGGAACTACTTTCACTTTTTGATGCCCAAAATGATCTGTATGTATATTTAGTTCACTTGAAGTTTGTACCCTAACCTCTTGGTCCTTCACCATATCCTTTCTCACCAATATCTCACCCTTTTTCTTCTAGGTTTTCACTAACTTGGCTTGCTTAATTATCAACATTGATGTCTAAATTATTTGATAGAGATTGTATCCCCACTATCGTACTTCGATTTATTAACATGGGCAAAAACCGGATGCCTCCTTCGATTTCCCTATATCACCATTGATTGAACATGTATAAATAGATCTATAATCCCTTGTATATTCAATATAAAACCTATAAAATTTACATAACCTACTCGCCTAAACATTATTCAAAATGAGGTATATGTCACCATATAAAGGAATGGATATGTGAATCACCCTCCTCCGATGAAAGGTCCTCCATAATTTCATAGCTAGAAAAAATATTATCTTTTCCATAAAGAGAATGATTATGAGATGAAGAGTTACTTCGCTATAAAAAATGAGATGGAAAGGCTAATCACCACGAGTTACCTCAAACAATTTCTAAATGGAGGATAAGATCCAAAGCTGAATCGAGTAGGACGAACCAATTACTAGGACGACCTCACAAAGATCAACGTTATCCTTAAAGGTCTATCAACTAGAAACAAGTTTGATAAAGAAGGGAAGACGTGTGTGAACCAAGTTCTCACCACCTTGTAAGCCTTAACCCCTTAGCGTAAGCCCAACACATTCATTCCTAATGATACGAGAGGGAGTGACTTTCTTCCATGATGATAATCTTGTCATCATTGCAATTAGGAGCGGACCCAAGTAGAATGCTACAAGGGCCCTAGGCCCCCTCCAATTTTTTTCCCCATGGAACATCCCATGCCATACTCTTTTATCATCTTTTTTATTTTATCACAATTTTACTTTTAATATAACACCATCCTAATTCATGCTTTAATTCGTTTATTTTTTTTTTTTAGAATGCTTCAATCGGAATTTTAATTAACCTATGGATAAATGCATATATTTTTACATAAAATAATTAATTTGAGGGCATAAATAAGTGTAAAAATACACTTATTTCTATAGAAAATATTCCCTATGCACATAAAAATTCACCTAAGTTTATAGAATGTTCCTACACCTCCTAAATGATTTTTTATACTCATTGAATAATTTTCAAACACATTTAAAATACTCAAAATAATTAATTTGCACAAAAAAGCACTATTCATGCATTGAAAATATTCACTCGAACATCAAAAAATTCATCCAATGGGAAAAAAATTCTATACAAATAGAAAATTTTTCGTGCACATTTACTATACTCAAAACATTTATTTTGTATAAAAAATAACTATTCATGCATTGAAAAACTGATAAAATATTCACCCGAGTATAGAAAAAATATCTTAAGCGCATCGTATATTCTAGCATCCTTATAGAAACTATCTTATGCTCATAGAATAGTTTTCATACATTCTTAATATATTTTTAATTCATTTAATGACGGGTTCGAGATAATACAAAAGGGTTGAGGATACTCATTGGAGTTTTCATCAAAAATCTATTTTTGGTTTGATAAATATATTTAATGCAATTATAGTTGAGCATCATTACAAAGTTGACATATTTAATGCTATGATAGATTCTCAATTGCAAGAACTAAATAATAGATTCAATGATCACACGATAGAGCTACTCATTCTTGGTTCGGCTTTAAATCCTAGAGAGATGAGTATATCATTTAGGATTGACGACATTTGAAAGGTGATGTAGAAATTTTACACTCGGACTTCGTTGATCATGAAATGCTACAATGAAGGATACAATTTGAGCATTTTGATTATGTGCGAAATCTTTTAATTTTGAAACATTGTCAACTATATCTAATTTGTGTCAATGGTTGATGAAGATAGGAAAATTTGAAAGTTATCCACTTGTATATAAAATGATAGCGAGTTATTCATACTCTTTCGGTTTCCACAACTACCACAGAAGCGAGTCATTTTCACCTTTGAGCATAGTCAAGACTAAGCTTCGTAACAAGATGGAAGATGAATTTCTTTTCAATTATTTGTTAGTATATATTGAAAAAACAAATTGTTGAAATTTTTTTATAAATTCATTTATAAATGATTTTCGTGACTTGAAAGAATAAAAATCTCTATTTTAAGTTATTATATTTTGAGATTATTTTAAAATATATATTGGTATGTTATTTATAATATATATAAATTTATGTAAATCATGAAAAATTTATAAATTTTTATTTTGGCCTTCGTAGAAATTTGGTCCTACATCAACCACTCGATTGCAATCCTCTCCAACTATAAAGTTTATTGAGTTGTCATAGACAATAGTAATGTTATGAACATGTTGTCTCAAGAAGTTCTCAAGTTGATAAAGAAGTTCTCAACTTGATGAAGATCGGCCTCTCCAAACTCTAGCAACTTAAAACTCCGTTAGTGGACATAGAATGTAGAGGCTCGCCAACAAAATAGGAGGTGAAAATTCCAATCACCATGGACACCTTTTCTAGAAGTGTGACACTTCACTAGACTTTGATGGTTATCAAGATGAACTTAGCACACGGCGTGATCATCGGTAGAGCCCTTCTTCTTCAATAAATACTGTCATTAATATGAGATACTTAGCCTTGAAATTTCTCACAAAAATTGAATAGCTACTATCGAAGTAATTAGCAAACATCTCAAAAATGTGCTTCCTTATACATGAAGAGAAAGAAAACCACAATAGAAAATAAAAAGGAGTCGATTCCAAAAGAAGATGAGATACAATCATAAATCACCAAAGAGTCGGAAAATATGGCATAGAGAAAAGAACTCACCAACAAGCTGGACTTTTCGATCACAACCGGATATACCATCAATAGGCCTTTTTTTGGGTGATCCGATAATAAAAATATTGCCAATAAAAATGCCCTCGTTCCTCCTTCCTCACAATGCAATTATATTTCATTAGGATTATGATTTCCCTAGTAATAATCTTGCTCCTTCAAGAATTCTATTCCTTTCGAAATCCTATTCTATATATATTCCTTTCAAAATCCTATTCCATATATATATATAGACATGAGCAAACGATTAAACGAGTTCGAGTTTGGTATGATTTGGTTCGGTTTTCGATTAACCCAATCAAGAAAAATAAAAACCGAAATCAAACCAAAATAAATTGGGTAAATTCAATTTTTAACCAAATTATTTCGGTTCAGTTTCAAAATATTTTGGTTATTTCGGTTAAAACCAAAATATTTTGCTAGAAAAAAAATTTTCAGACCATTGTTTCATTGTCTTTCCTAAGCAACCACCATTTTCACGATTTATTGTAAAAAAAAATGACGAGTGAGAATGGGACAAGGCCATATAACTCAATATAGGTGTATAAGAAATTAATGAGCTTTACCATTTGCATGCATAGCTTTGAGGATATAACCTAAGAACCATATATATCTTGTTCATGATCCAATATACGAAGCAATTAATTAGATTGAATAAGATTCAATTCAAGTAGGAGTAGGAGCGAGATGTTACGCGTATGCAATCCAATCCAACTTACATTACAAACTCAAAAATAGAATTTTACAACATCCCAATAATAATTTACTTTGATTAGAAACAGAGCCTATTCCTTTAAATAAGTAAAAAGATACTCACACGAGTACATCAAAACAACAATTAAAACTTACCATGCAACTACCTAGTAAAGTTGTAGAAAGGACACGACTGTTTTTAGTTTTTCCGGATGTACAAACGTGTGTGGTAGTAAAGTAAAATACTCACTTCCTCTACAACTCAACTTGGCTTCCAACTAAGTGTGCTATTTCGACACTCTATTTCCACATAGCAACTGGATCGAACAAATCCATAAAATTCACCTGGCACATCTAACTTCTCCCATTTACCATTTTATGCATCCACAACAAAGAACCCTTGTGCTCCACATTCATAAGCCGATCCCGACACAAATGTCCTTTCGCCTAGCCGAACACCACAAGCCCCGACTTTCATTGTCGACTCGGACTCAACCCGGTTGAATAGTTGCTCATCTTTGTCCACTCCGAGGGAGGACCTCGGGCATTGGGTGACTTTCCACGACTCCTCAACTCGCTTCCACTTCCTTGCTGCGAGTTCAATTGACTTCGAGTTCATGGTACATGGAATGTGTATTTAATGGTTAAAGGGAAATGCTTTGTTGAAATTATGGATCCATTAGTGTCATACTCGGAATTTGCAAGAATACCCATCCCCATCGCAACCATAGCTACTAGCAGATTTATTTCAACGAATCCACTCGGTGATAAGGTGCTCCACGAAATTATAGGAGGAGGGTTGTGGGTGATTGGGTGATGACTGGTGAGATTGGAAGAGGAGATAGAAAGCTATAGAGAGAGAGATAGGTGGGTGTTGAGTGTGTTGCGATTGCTATCTTGTTGAGGTAAAAGGCCCGATGATGAAGGAGAAGCTGGAGAAGAAGAAACAAAGGATAGGGAGCCGGGGAGATGCGGTTGAAAATTGATTTTGATTTAGTAAAGTTAGCTAGTTAGGGTTTTAGGCGAGTTAGTATTTAGGAATTTTTTTTTAACTATTAATTTTTTTGATATTCGGTGGAAATCGATTTTTTTTCAAAAACCGAATCGAACCAAAATAATTCTGTTTATTCGATTCGGTTTTTAATTTTATAAATTTAAATTTAAAACCGAACCAAACTACATAATTCGATTCGATTTTTGGTTAACCGAACCGTTTGCTCACCCCTATATATATATATATATATATATATATATATAGAGAGAGAGAGAGAGAGAGAGAGAGAGAGAGAGAGAGAGAGAGAGAGAGAGAGAGAGAGAGAGAGAGAGATTTACATGATTTTATTGTAAGATAATTAATAGTGTATAATGGATCCATCTTCTAAACAAAACTAAATTATTAAATATTTTTTCAGAATTAATTTTAATTTAAAAAACTGAAATGCTTAAAATAAATATTGTTTTTAAGCATTTCAATTACCAATTGATATTTTAAGCGTCTAACATGATGAAAAGTAATCAAATTTATCTAAATTAAAAATAATAGTTTGATATTCAAATAGTTGAAATTAATAATATAAGTTTTTTTTTTTTTTGTTTTACCACAATCCAAATAGTTTCGAGGTAAATTATGTCATTAAACCGAACAATTTGTAATGCTTTTTAGAGGGAAATTCAAAAAATCATCCCTAAGAAAAAACTATCATCGTTAATCCATCGGCCAAAATTCTTCAAAAATATTTTCCAGAAACAAGAATTCTTGTCATCTAGTTACTCGCAACAGAACCCAATTATAAAATTTTGGTTAAAGTTTAATTTTAACCATATGCATGTGGCCTATAAAGTAACAGATCAATGCACGTTAAACCCAAGTTTTTTTATTTACTTATTTATTTTTATTTTAGAAGGCATGAAACCATGTTTTGAAAATAAATAATTAAACAATCTTTTATGACTAGTGGGAAAACTGTACATCAATATAAGAATCCAATATTTCATGTTGTGGTTTCTCTGCTATTCGATATTTCAGTTACTATATTCTATGTGTCTCTTTATCTGGCCTGTTACATATGCCAGACTCACAGCTTAGCTTCCTATCTATATTATTATATGCATAAATATCGTCTATATTCTAATTAGAATAAGCGTTTTGCCACCTTAATTTGGAGGAGGAAGCAGCCATTTGGAACCCTCAATATATGCAAGAGAAATGAAGGCGTTCGCTTGCTGAGGGGTTAGCTGCTTGCTGAATTTAACACGGCTACTAGGGTTAGATCCTGGTCCCTTGCACTTATATTCTCCAAATGAAACCATCCTGCATTAAGCAAACGTAATATATAAATTATTATTAATTCGTAGAAGTTGTAAGGGAGAGTTCTCCACTCACTAAAGTTGATTATTTAACATTCCTCAAAAAATTATTTCATGGAGCAGGTCTATACATGTAAAACCCTAAGCCATTTAAAAATGAATAGTGCTAAATTTGTTGAAATTTTTTTTCCCAAAATCACGTTCTCAAAAAATTCCAAGATTTAATTTGTTTTATTACAAAAGAACTCCAACCTTATAAATTTCCCTATATAATTGTTATTTTTTAACCAATTAATTACCTACCTAGCTATTAAAACCCCATTAGATTACTTCATATTTAGAATAAAAAGAATAATCACCACAAGAAATTTACTAAATAACGACGTATTTTAATGACAAAATAATCGGTCGTTATTTTTGAAAATTTTTGTAGTGAATACTTTTCAAAGAAATTTAACACCATCAAATTTATGAAATTTATTAGTCGGCCAAATCCACTCATTAAATATGTGAGGTTTTTCGAAAAGTGAATTGAGAAACAATATTAAGCAAAAACTCCTTAATTAATTATGAAATCAAATTGATATAAAGAAATGATCGAGATGGATGAGTTACCTGTCTCTTTCAGGGTGGAGATTATCGGACCATCCAGCAGGATTGACAACACTACTCATGGTAGTGAAAGCAAACACTACCCTAGGTCTTTCTGTCCATGCACGTCCCAAAAATGCCCCCTTCCCAATTCCATTTACTTTGCAATGAACAAAAGAAAATCCACTGTCATCTTCCCTATATCTTGCTTGTGCAGTTATCACTGCCAATCCTTGGTCTGCTAGCACATTTATCTCCGTTCCCTGCATTAATTAATTGGCAATTAATAAATTTCAAACCTACTTTAAATGCTCAAGAATTTGAATAGAGAATTAATCAGGAATTTGAAGAGTTAATTTTTGGAGGTTACCAAATACAAGGACCTTCCACTTCCGAAAATGAAATCAACAGTGCCTTCAATGTAACAATTTTTGAAAAAATGGCGTCCCTTGTCATCGCACAATGTGTCTTGAAATCCAATAAGTCTGCAATTATAGAAAGCAGCCTTGTCTCCTCCAATTCTCAAAGCAACCGCCTGTTCTTCTTTCAATTTCCCACTCGGCCTCGGCGCAGAATTCTATTCCAACCAAAAAAAAGAACAGTTATAACATAAAAAAATTAATTAACCAGAAATAAAAGAAAATAAAAAGAGAAATGTAAGCAAAAATTTTGTTGAATAATTCTTACCTTAATAATGATATTAGAAGCTACGAAATAATCAGAGTCAACTTGCAAAGTGGCACTATAAACAGTTCCAAATACCCTAGCTGTACCAGCAAATGTCAAGGTTGGCGTGCTACTAGCCGATCCTTTAAACGTAACAAAAGGCTTTTGTTTCTCAATTTGGATTTTTTCATTGTAGACCCCGGCACCGATGTCGACGATTACACGTTGAGTATTCCCCAATGGAATACTTTTAACGGCATCCGTCAAGGTTTTGAAATCACCATTTCCATCTTTTCTAACCTTAATGGTTCTTGGTTTAGCCTCGGCAGTTTCAAGGGAAGGGTCTAGGGTGCCTTCACGTTTTGCGTAGGGCTTGACATTGGCTTGGAACCAGGAGTTTAGGCTAGATGGGTCCCCTGGTATTGGACTTCTGTCATTAGAGCCAAGGGTGGCGGACACGAGAAGAAGGATGGCAGCCGCAATGAATGTAACTTTGCTTATGCTCATTTTTGTTACTAGATTTTTTCAAGCTAGATTTGTGGAAGATTTCAATTTATAGGCAACATAAGAAGAGTAAAGCCTTTGGAAAAACGGGGAACATGGGGCTCCTTACATTTCCTTTTGTTTGGTATTGGTGGTTTATATGTTAGGCAAGCACGTAAGCCCTTTGCTATTTATTACAAAACTAAGAAACTGTCCTAAGAAAGACATTTTGCTTCTTTTAGACAAGACGTTTTGGTTGGGATAACAAGTAAAATTCGTCCAATTCCTTTGATAGTGCAATATTACAAGGGATCAAAAGTACGTACAGAACATGTCTGATGAAGATTTGTCATTATCTTAGCCATATACCATGTACAAGATTGGATGTTGTAGCAAAAACTCCATTACCTCCTTAAAGTCAATCCTCTTCACCATGCAATCACAACCAAAAATTCAATTGCTGGCACAGCGGCACTATTGATATTGGTGCATCCTGGCCTAGCTAGGTGGTGGTTGAGGCCATAGTTCCCTAGTTCAAACATGCATTTATCGTAGCACTAATTACATTACAGCTTTTCAAAACAGTTTCCTTTTTTATGCCAAACAATTAAGTACTGTTTAAGAAAAAAAAATTCGGAATCCAGAAGTTCCTTGAACAAATTAAAATTTGAGATCTTTATTTGGAGATCTCGAATTCAAATTCCAGAAGTGGGAAAATCCAAATTGTGTTGGTCCTTGCATTAAGCATAAAGTTCCTTGAAGGAAAATGGAATAAAATGAGGGAATAAAAAAATTAATAATAATAATTTCTCTAGAAGTAATATGTAAAAGATATATCATGGGCCTTCGGCTCAGCTTTCACCCCAGAGATTGGATCCTCTCTTCTTCAAAGAGCCCATACCATCCCTGAGATTGGATCCAGAAAGAGCCCGTATTATTTTGGGCTGCTCAGCCCAAGCAAGTAGCCAATGTAGGATTTCTTAGCCATTGGTAACAAATTCTTTTGCATTAAATCATATGCAATTTAATTTAGTATTCTAAAAACCAATAAAGAAGCAGTGTAATCAACACAAAAATACATACATTCTAATATTCTCTCCTACAAATCAATAATTTATATGCCTAACCTTAGAAAAAATGATTCTATCCAAAGCCGTATTATTTTCCCCATGAATGTGCACAAGCTTTATGGGTCAAATTTCCAAATGTTGATATCTCACTAACCCCAGAGCGCTTGAATCTCTTCCAATCATCAACAACAGCTAATAGATCAGTAATCTTGGCGCTTATCGTTCGACAACAATTAGCATGAACAGTTGTAACAGCTACAATGTCCTTGCTATCTTCGCAAAATCCACTAAAATAGAGGGTGTTCAAGAAGCTTACTTTGAGGCCTAGCTTTTTAAACACCCCTCCATGAAGTATTCCATTTAAAACATCTTGCTCTTTTTGTCCAATAGAGTTGTTTTTCCTCGAATACCACAAGTCAAATAATGACATGGTCTTCTTGTTTGACCTGATCATGTAAAAGCCAGTGTTTAATGGGTTGCTCTCTGACCATTGATTACCATTGAACCTATCTGTACTAATTTGTAGGTCAATGTTTTTGTTGAAGCTCAGCCTCTGAAATGGATTCCTTAGCCACAGTACATCAGTATCCTGTAAAGAAAGGAAAGAATTGATCAGCTTGATTGATGAGTCCCAAAATAATACACACCCATACGAAAATATGCAATTGCAATTAGCAATATAAAAAAATATATATATGCATATAACAGTAACTCCTTCTATTCAAAAACTTTATATGGCTAGGATGGTCTTGCCGGGGAGTGAGAAGAAGAAAGAAGAAAAAAGCATAAGCACACATTCTGCCAAGGTGATCTTCCAATTGGTTGGACGCATCTACCGCATCATTTCGAAGACAAAACTTTCCTCTAACGTGAGACCTACTGAGGTTTGGCACATGAGACTAGAAACGATACGATAACTTTGTGCCCACAGGAAATAAGGCGAAAGAAATTTGTGTGTCAATTCTATGAAATAGCCTTGTATTCTGTCTAATCTGGTTCCATTACATCCCATGTGGTTGTGGTACCTTAAAGAAAGAGCCACATTGAAAAGTTGTGTAAGAGTAGTAAAGGGATAATTGATTACACTAACGTATTCTCATTTTACACTTTTTTTTCAACGAATATATGAATTTTGAATTTTTTTTTTTTCATTTGAATACATTTATTTTTTAAAAAACTTTCAATCAAGTGCTTACTTATAGCTTTGGTTAATTTCTTCATTTTCTAATCACTTATCCTTTAACCATGTCAATTTTTAATTTTTTTTCTCAATTAATGACATGAACTTTGTTTATTTTATTTTTTGTTTTGTTTTAGTAGATTTTTTTATTATGCCAATTGAGTAATTTATAAAACATCCATTAACTTTTTCATTTATTTTTTTGTAATCACATGATTTTCATTTCTTTGGTTGAAATAATAGTATTTTAATTGCATTAATAATTTATTTACTTCCTATGTCTCAAAAAGATTGTCTTTTTTTTTTAACTTTTTTTAACATAAATTATTAATTGCTACGGCATATCAAGTTGTTTTGATCGGATCTATACATGTAGATAGCTTATTATTAATTAAAAGAATATTAAAAAAAGATTTATTTTAATTTAAAATATCTTTTGTTTACTAAATATAATATTATTTAGAGGGCAATTTTATTTTAAAAACATCTATATTTGAAAATGAAAAATTGACTCGATTTGTACAATTGAAAAAGTCTATATACTAAAATGAAAATAATTGAAGCCCATGTAATGACGGAAGTACTTAATTGGAAGTGTTGAAAAAATTAAAGTATTCAAAAGAACAAAATTAAAATCGAAAAATTGCAAAGTTGGTGTATTATCGATAAATTTTATAATACACAAGAAATAACTAGTGGCATGTATAGTAGTTACTTCATGGATCCACTTTAAGGAGATAGATAGACATGTTAAATTACATCCGAATCTACCAAAAGTGATAAAAAAAAAAAATTCACATTCATTTAATTTTTTTTTATTTTCTCTCTCCTTTTTTTGTGTCTATCTTTATCCTCAAAGTGGGTTCATGAAATAACTACTGTACATGTCACTAATTACTCTTTTTATAAAATTTCTTATGTATTACTAGTGTAATTATCGCTCTACTAAATATGGTTATCTAGAGGTTATCAAATATGGAATTAAAATCAAGCTAATACACTGTTTAAGACCTTGCTGTTCCAGCCAATTAAATCAAGATAGTAGAAAACATACCGTAAAAATGAAGTTATAACCACGCTTGAGTACTTGTCCAAGAAACAAGGTTCTCCTCCACATCATCTTGACAAATTCTTTGGACATGTACACTTCCTCACTATCAAATTTCACACCATCTGTTTCAAGTTTGTAACAATGAAGCCGAAGAAATTTGCACCGTTCATAGGACGCTTGATCCACGTTAACAAGCAAGAGATGGTTAACCAAATCTCGGGTACTTTCGCCTAGCCAGAAACTATCCAAGAAAAGGTCTAGCATTGACTTATCATCACCCTCTACGTAGGCTTTGTTTACCATAGCGATTATTACAGTCTTGTTTTCTGTTGATGCCTCAGCCAAAGCCAAATCCAGGGCATCTTGTTGCCCAGTGATCGCATTTCTCTACAATACACAACAAATCGAAACCAAATTAACGATATGGAAATCTATATATACATGTGACTAATTAATGCCTTGATATTGGGAAAAAAAAGTAATAATAATAAAGAAAAGAAAGCATGCTTACTGTGTAATATTGGCATGAAAAGAAAGGCCTGAATATAGCCGGATGATAGACGATTAATCCACATAGTAAAGTAAGGCACAAAAGGCAAAAAGAAATGATGTGGCTGCTATAGTTTTTCAGAACATTCATGTTCTTGAAAAATCTTCGATTTTTAGATTTAGATTTCGTCTTTGTTCACCAGATGGGTGGATGGTGCAGAAAGTTGAATGGTTGAAGAGTTTTATGGTTGATGAAATTTATTCTCACAATGACTTGTTATGTACTAACAAATATGAGATTGTAGAGATCTTAAAAGTCTCGGTTTATGCCGTTTAGGACACTCATGAAGACCATTACACTTATTACATTTCAACCTTAATTAATAAATATAAAAAAACTGCCTTGCAAATTTAATTGCACAATCAAATTGCGTAGTTTTCAATCATGCTATTTGGTCTTTCTACCTACTTTATACTCTTTTTATTTTAACAAGATAATTTTTTTACACTAATTAAGAAAATTATTAATTATCATGTCATATTAGTATATTTTATTGTATTCTTTTATATATTATTTTAAAAAAATGTATTTAGATATTTTTTTATAAAATAGACTTTAACTAAAAATATTTTTTTAAATAAAATATTTAAAATTAATTTTAATCGGACAAGTATTTTAAGATATATAAATAAACAATCTCTTTAGAACAACAGACTTTTCGTAGCCATTTTACCAATTCCATGTATAACTCGTAATTGTGCGGACATTGGGTTAGATTTGGAGTGTTTTAAGCGCTCATCAACCTAAGCATGGTTGCCTGAGTCTACAATCCACATCACAGTATTTTGGACTGCTTTGTTGTATAAAAAAGAGGACACCATTCTATTAGATTAATCGGGTGAATAAGGACTTACTTTTTGGAGTGAGTACTATTAAAAAATATCAGAATTACTCATTATGAAAAAAATAAAAATTAAAACTAAACTTCAAACCATGTTCATCACACTGTTTACGTAGACCATATTACTGTAGATTAACTATTCACACATCCCACCCTCGTCTTGGCTTCTTTTTTTTTAATTGTATTTTGATTTTATGGCATTGGGTGTTTTGAGCTATTTTTATTATTATTATTATTATTATTATTATTATTATTTTGCAAGAGCATTTAATGCTCTTGCATTTTGAATGTTCTTCTCTATTTCTTTGCCAATGTCACTCTTTTTTTTCCTCACATTTCTTTCATCATTTTTCTTCCTTCATTGGCCTTGTCTTTGCAGGCTTTTGTTTTTTTATTTCAATCTCAACCATTCATCTAAAAACTTTAGTAATCATAATTGTTGAATCCTGATTTATGACTTCATTTTATTTTAATCTCACTAAGTCGGTTTCCATCTTCATCCTTCACTCTAACTTTTTAACCTCTCAAAAATCCTCTTCTTTAAGAAATTAAGACCAAGCAAGTCGGACGAAGAATGAAAGGTTTCAATGGATCGATTTAACAAGAAACAAAATATGGAAAGCATACCACTAGCAAAAGAGCTACTAAAAAAGATCTAGAAACTTTAAGTAGGTGTAAAGAAGATCAAGCTTCTTCCAATGTTCTACTTGATAGCAATGAAGAACAAAGCAATGTTGGAAGCTTAGTCGGTTGCATGATGATGAAGCTTAGCTAGAAAAAGAAGGCGACAACTCATCTTTGTAAATTAATAGTTAGTTGTAAAGTTAGTTATTGTTGTTTTGATTGTCATCGGTGCATGCGTATATAACCGACATTGTTAGTTACATTTGTGTTTTTGAAGCAATAAAATCAATTTTCTTCATGGTATCGAGCCTTGGTTGTAGCAGATATTTTCTTGCATTTTCTTGCTTCCTAAACAATCTTTCATCTTTTGATTCCTTGATTTTTTTCAACCGTTTTCATTCCTAATCACGGATTATCACTTATTACGGCTCGAGAGATCAATCTTACTAGTCTTGATCTTTGTTTCACCATTGATTGAATCTGTGATTTTCAACAATGGCTTCTAACTCTACTTTTGTTGGTTCCGTGATTCCACCTTTTGAAAATCCACGTTCACCTTTCTTCTTTTATCATTCGGAGCATCATAACACTATTATTACCACACCTAAGCTCACGACTTCTAATTATGGTTCTTGGAGTAGATCTTTCTTATTGGCATTGTCCATTTGTAATAAGGAAGGTTTTATTAATGGTTCTATACCTCGATCGGATCCCGGAGATTCTTTGTTTCCTGCTTAGAACGGATGTAACAATCGATTGTTGCTTCATTATTGAAATCTCTTTCTCAACCAATTGCTAATACGAGTATTCTATATGGATTTTGCTCAAAAAATTTGAGACACTTTAAATGTGAGGTTTTCTCAACTCGATGATGCTAGGATCACGTAATCTGCAATTGAGTTTATGCACTATCATGCAAGGAACTAGGTCTATTAATGACTATTTTAATGAGCTAAATGGTGTATGGGAAGAACTCGAAACTATAGACCTATTCCTCATTGCAAAATGTGGTGAATGCAAGGATACTTGTTTTCGGGTTTTTACTACTCAACGACGATAGGATTATGTGTTTCATTTCTTTAATGGATTAAATGACTCATTTATCGTTGTTAGATCTCAAATTCTTATGATGGAGCCATTCCTTACTATGGATGAGGTAGTCAATCTTGTTCTTCAAATAGAATCTTAGAGGTCTTTTTAGATGATTTCATAACCCTTTATAGAAACTTCGATCATGGCGATATTAAGGTCTACCTACAGAAGTGGTTTCGGAATGATAAAGTTTATTCTCATTGTGGAAAACCAAGCCATAACAAAGAAAAATGCTATAAGATTAATGGTTTCCCACCATATTTTAAGTTCACTAAGTTCCAAAGAGGCAACAAAGGAATCACTAAACACAATTTCACCCTCACATTATGGATTCCGTTAACAAGCATAGTAGGCTGTGATTCCGTGAATTCTATTAACAATTGTGATTCTTCTACAACCTCATGTCTCGACTTGGTTTATCTCAAAATCAAGTCTAGAAACTTATCTCTTTGCTTAATAAGGATATTTCGCAGCGAATTACCCTCATCAACACATACTCGTGCCTACTTCCTCTTCGATAAATCATACCCAAACCTCTCGCTTCAATTATATATGTTTGTAATCAATCTTTCAGTCATTCATTTACCTTGTTAAATCATACATAATGGATTGTGGATACAGGTGCATTTGATCATATAGCATGTTATTTGCAATTATTTGATTCCTATCATCCTATAACAAGCACTCTAGTTAAAATGCCTAATGATACTCATACTTTTTCTACCTTTTGTGGCACTCGTTACTTTGATTGGTAACATTGTTTTGCATAATGTTCTATTTGTGCATGCTTTTGATTTTAATTTTTATCCGTCGGTTAACTAACAAAATCTCATAAATACAACTTACTATTTACTCGGTGTTCACTCGCCTTCTTCGGGATCTCCATTTTAAGACCAAGATTGGGCTTGCTAAGATGCAATCTGGTCTTTATATATTTCATTGCCTTTCATGATCTTCCGATGCAACTTTGCTTCGTTAGATTTCCACTCGATTGTTACCAACCTATCTACATGTTCAACATTTGATCTTGGGCTTTATTGATTGTGACATTCTTCTTCCGATAGAATAAATACTCTCAAGCACATAGATAATGCTATACGATGTAATCCAAATACAATTTGTACTATACGTCCATTGGTAAAGTCAAAAAGATTACCTTTTCCTTCACATTTCAAACATACTTCGCTCCTTTTGAATTAATCCATATGGATATTTGGGGACCATATTCTACTCCAACCATTGCTGGTTATCAATATTTCCTAACAATTATTGATGATCATACTAGGTTTACTTCAATTTTCTTAATGAGACATAAATCGATGTGCTTTCATTGGTTTCTTTCTTTTACAATCTTATTAACACTCGGTTTGGTTCCTCTATTAACAAGTTCAATCAAATAATGGACCAGAGTTCAACTTGTTTGAGTTTTATAATTCCAAAGGCATAATTCATCAAATGACATGTGTTGGGACTCCACAACAAAATGGAGTTATGGAAAAGAAGCATCAACACCTCTTGGTTGTTATAGGTCCTTATTATTTCGAGTCATCCTTACCTTTGAAATTATGGGGTGATGCTGTCCTTACTGACCACTCATATCATTAATAGACTTCCATCTTCTATTTTACAACACCAAACTCCTTACCAGTTGCTTTTTCAAAAACCATCTACTTATATCCATTTTAGAGTCTTTGGTTGCTTAAGTTTTTCTACTACATTACTCGCTCATCATAAGAAATTTCATGCAAAAGCAAGGAAATGTGTCTTTCTTGGATATCCTATAGGTGTCAAAGGTTACAAATTATATCATTTAGTTCTTCACTCCACTTTTATTTCTAGAGATGTCAAATTCTATGAACATAACTTTCCCTATTTCTCTGTTTCATCTTTGCATTCTTCTTCCTTATCATCACCTCATATACTTACCGATTTGTTTTCTCTTATAATGTCTATTCCTCTTTCGATTCTATGGTTCCTTCTTCTATTTCTCCTATTCATTGTACTGATAATTGCACTAATAGCATGCATTCATCATCAAATGATCATCCTAATATTCACAATCCTTCTACCGATACTTATGCATCTTTATTAGATTTTTCACCTACCCTTTCACCACAATGCACCCCCGACATAGACCTTATGCCATCTATCCAAAAGAGTACTAGGCTAAAGCTCATTCCTTATTACTTAGATCTTTATGATCATTCCATTAAACTCGTGTATTATTGTACTACGCATCCAATTTCCAAATACCTTTCTTCTTTCCAATTGTCCCTTGCTCATAAGGCCTTTACTGACATCTCTTTCATTACTCAATGAACATACTAGTTACCAAAAGGCTATGCAATATCCTCATTGGAAGAGAGCTATGTAGGATGAACTTGATGCTCTTGAGTAAAATCGCACTTGGATAGTGGTTCCCTTTCCATCTAATCATCATTCTATTGGTTGTAAATGGGTGCTTAAAACCAAGCTTAAGGTCGATGGAAGTTTGGAGAGGTATAAAGCCCGTTTAGTAGCTAAAGGTTACAATCAACATGGAGGGTTTGACTTTACTCGAAACTTTCAGCCTCGTGGTGAAACAGATCTACTATCGTGGTCTTTCTAGCCTTGGTCGCTATTCATAATTGGTGTTTATCTCAACGGGGCATCAACGAGTGCATTCTTGCATGGAGAATTAGATGAGTTAGTTTATATGGATTTACCACTTGGCTATTAGTTTTAGAGGGAGAATAGTTCGGTAAAATGGTATGTAAGTTGTATAAATCTCTTTATGGCTTGAAGTAAGCCTCTAGACAATAGAATTCTAAGTTCGAGTGCATCATTACTTGCTTATGGTTTTGTTCAATCAAAATCGGATTACTCCTTGTTTACCAAGGTTGACAAATTTGGTGTTTTTGTTGGATTGTTGGTATATGTGGATGATATTCTTATTGCTAGTAGCTCATCATAGGCCATTACCAACTTGAAACAATATCTTGGTTCCTAGTTTAAACTCGAAGGATTTGGGACAAGTGAAATACTTCCTTAGTGTCGAAATAACTAGCTCATCTAAAAGGATTTCTCTTTGCCAAAGGAAACACAATTTGGATTTGTTGGTAGATTTTGGCATGTTGGGAGCAAAACCTATTTCAACTCCTATATACCCTA